TGATTTTAATGATTTATTTAGCCGAGTCTGCAGCAGCAGCAGCAGCAGCAGCTGCATAAGTAACTATGGGCAGTCAGAATTTGCTCTTACGTAAACAGGTAAAAACTATGAGGCCCAGAGCTCTGTATCAAAAGCACATTTATAACGTTGTAGTACACGAAAAGGGGGGGGACTTGGGCGGTAGAAACACTAAAAACGAAATTATTTTCAAACGGTTTTGTGTGATTTATTTGGCTGTCTGTGACCACAAAAACCCAACCAAACGAAACGAAAACGAATCGAAAGCCAAGGCCTAGTCCGGGGCTCTTTTTTGGCATTGGACACAGTCCTGCTGCAATCGAGTGACTAAGCCAATTTTCTGTTGCCTTTTACTCTCTTGTTGGCCAACTCAAATTTGGTGTGGTCAGAACGGCATCTGCAATTGTTCGGCCAAGCTGCAAATTGCATTGGAAGCTAATAATAATCGGCAGCAATGTCCAGGCGAAGGTAAGGCCCATTAATTTAAAGCCCTTTTCAATGCCAGGGCCTTGTCGCTGCGACTTCCGCCCCACTAAATTATAAATTTTACTGCCAAAGACATAATAAAAGCAGCAACGGCGCAAATATTGGTCAAATATTTGTACGGCGTGTTTTGTGTGTCTTTATCTCTACTTTGTTTATGTTGCAGAGTCACGCGAGTTGTCAGCATAGAAATTCCTGGCTGCTTGTTAACATTCGACAGCGTTTTGCTTTTAAATGGAGAGGCAGCTGGAGACAGCCCGCTGCCATTCGCTAATCAACATTTAATGGCCAGGGAGTAGGCGTGCGTATGCGTCATATCTTATGCCACTTTGCATGAATAAAATATCGCGTATACGCCGCGTACTACAGCGCACAAATATTCTCTCTCTCTCTCTGTCTGTCTACATACATATGTGCATATATATATCTTCTACTCATAATTAGACGCCACAGCGCCATCGCAATCAGCTGTGGCCAATTCTCTAGTCGGGCTGCTGGCATTTGGGAAATGAAGATGCGTACGAGCGTACAGCGCGTCGTATACGCAATGTCAGGCACTTTGGGGGATTAGATAGCGAAATGTTGAAGACACAAGATTCTTACGTGGTGGTAAACATTCTGATGGTTATTATGAAAACTTAATAGAAATTGCGTAAAGTAATTACTTTCTAAAACTTATAGTTATCTTCGGGTGTTTATGAAACCCAATTGTAATTGAAGCGGCTGTTGATAGCAGAGTTCATCTTTTACTAAGTAAGTTAGTTTAAGTGTGGCTCAAGAGTTCGTTCGTCTGATAAGCTATGCATAAAAAGCAATAAATACTTACAAGCTTAACATGACAATCGTTAAATTGCGAAGAAACTTTAACATTGGCCGCCCTATGCTTTTAAGCTTCGATTTATTTACTTTGTTTCACATATGTATTGAAAAAATGTCAAGTTTGTCAGGAATAGGTAAACTTTTATCAACTATGTAAGCCAAACAAAATATATTTTATAATAACGAAAAATTAGTTAAAGAGATTACGATATTAAGCTCTCATGTTAAAGGTATATCGATTGTGTCTATAGTGTAAAAACGATAACAGATAACAGTCTTTCGATTAGTCCCATATTGCAAATCTTTCTCTTTGTAAAGTATTTCAATGTTCCTTCCATATTATTATAAATTTATGTTATACTAGGATATGCGACTGTCTCTACCTACAATGTTGATAACTGACCAACCGAATCATACAAAATTATTGATTATTGGGATATGAGAATATAATAATAATAATAGAACGAATTACATTGAACTCTTAAATTGCTGCCTTAATGTGAAGAGCCGTTAATTTATGCTTTTAAACAAACATTAATTTTTAATTTAATTTAACTAGGTGACATAAAACAGTATTCTAAATAAATGGCATATAATTAAAAAGTAATAATAGTCGACCGGCTCTGTAGTTGGGCAGGTAAATAGCCAAATATACCTGCCCACTTTCGAATCCCTCTCTCTCTGTCTCCTTCTCTCTCTCTCTCTCTCTTTCTCTCACTCTCTCTCTCGGTTTCTTTCGCTCTCTGAAACATTAGTGTAATGCGAGTCGCTTGTGAAATGCCATGACAAATACCATAATGAGCTCATTGCCTAGCATTTCCTGTACTCCACTGTGCCTCGACTCTCTGTCTTTTTCTCCACTTTGCCAGCTAATTAAAATGCCAGTTAGCTGTAGGACAAAATTGCTTAGATAGAGGCCTACCTGAGCCTCGCTTCCCATTCGCTTCATTTCCCTGGCTCCGCTCGCTTACTTTATTTGCGTTCGCTTTGAGGCGTTGCGCATAAATTTTGGGGCCATCCATTTGTAGGCCGTCCTCTTCTAGCTCTACACTCTCTCACATGGCCCTTGGCATTAGCCTAATTGTTGGCCCAGACACACTCACACACACACATAAACACAGACACACTGTTGGGTGATGGTAAAAAGGTAATTTTAGTTTTCGCATTTCGCATTTTGCTGGGCATTTAATTGTAAAAGCATTTTAATACGCAGCTCACTTTTTTTTCTGTAAATTTTTGCTCTAATGTTGCATAAAAGCATTTTCGTGTGCCAACCCTGTGTGTTTGCTGTGTGTGTGTATTTGCTGTGCCTTTTCAAGGTCGCGTGCTGAAATTACAGTCACGCGTCAGATTTTATGCAAAGCAGGCAGCGTAGGACTCAACCAGTTTTTAAGTATTTTGTGCATTTACAATTGCCCAGTTCGCAGTCCTTATATAAGGGTGTATGTGTGAGTGTGCGTATATATGTATATGTGTTGCGGCTGGCTGCTTTTCTTTTTCTCTTTTTTTTTTTGGTTGCCTGCCTACGCCTTTTGAGCAAGTCATAAATTTTCAACAAGTCTTGTAAAATCTCAAGTGAGCCTCACATTTTCTCGCAGTGCTCGCGCTGTTCATTTCGTCGTCGTTGTTGCTGATGTTGCTGTCGTTGTTGTTGGTGTTGCTAGCATGCAAATGAGTAGAGTGAAATACTTGTGTTTACCTTATACTGCGATATGCATATGGTTTATGTCTATGATAACGAGTGGCAGGCTATAGCTCTTTCTGCTTGACAAGCCCTAAGAAGTTTGGCAGAATAAGAAAAGTTCGCAAGATATTTAAGTTGCAGTAGGAATGCATATATACAGTGAATTTATGTTGGGCCGATTAAGCAAATGAAAAGATAATGTGAAAATATAAATATAAATAAATATAGCTGTAATATTATTGTATTGACTTTATATTATATTAGGGTATTCAGGTTCTAGTTCAATTTCTATTTCGCGAGTTGTGGACTGCTTTCTTACTTCTGTACATCCTATGCTCCCTCTGAATTAATTTAATACATGTTTACTTTAAAATCCTATAGACAGCGTGAAGAGATGCTTAAAAAAACACATTGCTTATAAATTTGTTTGCATATTGAAAATATAGATAGCTTTGTAATCCATTGAATAATTGATATCATTTCAGTTTGATGGAATGAGTACATACAATTATCTCATCATCGTATGATGCTTCAATTGAATTCTATTTTATTTCCATTTATTTATTTCTAGCCTAAAAAAAACTAAAATATAAGTTCCCAATTCTATCTCAACAATCAATTTTGCATTATACAAACTTTCTATTATATTTTGCAGCCTAGACACCATTCGATTTACCTCAGCTATCCGCATTGGTGTCAACTGCTCAAGTGTTTTCTTATGGCTTCAATTCCCCTTGGGGTTCGCTTCTTATATTTTTGCATATTATTTTAGTTCTTGTTTGTTTATGTCTTCCCCCTAGAGCAAATGCATTTTGAATGTTGGCCTTAAATGCAAATAATTTCACACTTTCACACATACGTACACACACACATTCGTGTAAAAACACACACGTGTATACGCTCTTTTATATGAAATGCCACATAAATTTACGACACTTTTTATAGTTTCCCTGGTTTTATTTTTATTTTTTTTTATTTTAGCTTTGACAAAAACTAAGCCAAACCTCACCTTTGGCGATTTATATAGGACGTTTCTTTTTTTTTATTTTACGAACTATTTGCTAAAGTTAAATGTGAGACCAAAACAAACGAATATGGTACATAAAAAACGAGAAGACAACAGCAGCAACAACAACAGGAAGCACTTTAAAATGTCAAAGGGATGTCAGCAGCAGCAGCGCAGCGGCAGCTCAGTCGCAGCGCAGTCAACGCTTTTTGTAGGCACTTAAAAGTCGGACTGCCTCCTGTTGTTGTTGCTGTTGTAGCTAATGATGCCTGCAGCTTTGATAAAGGCTCCGGCATCATTCAACGGTTTTATTGCACGTTTTATGTGCCGGGCATGAAAGGCGAAATACACCGTAAGAAACACATATAAACACGATATACATATATTCGTATACAAGTTGCTTTGATATGCTGTTTAACCTTTTGCAATGGGGAAATTTCAGAATGAAAGGCGTAAATAGAGAGCGAAATATATGTGCATAAATGAAAACTCCTATTATGCAATCTATGTATTTTGTAAAGTAAGTAAAGTAGAGAAACAATTATCTGTAGATAGACTGCGAATTTTGTAATAGAGAAATATCTGTAGAGCTAGCAGATTGATAAGAATATGTAATATAATATAATAATTAATATAAAAATGATTGTAAAGAAATGAAAAACATCTGTATAATTAATTGCCAGTAAGAAGTATTATATAGATCCTTAACAATATGTTTTGCGCGTAGCTCGAAATGGAAATTTATCATATAGGGACTGTCTTTTTCAGGATATTTTCTAATCATTTCGCACAGTGTATATTTTCAGCACTGACCATCTTCTATTTATATTGCTCACAATGATTTCAAGTTTTATGGCATAAATATTTTGATGAACCATATGCATACATATAAAATAAACATAAATTTTTCTTAGTGTAGGTTTTGCTACGTAGCATACATTTTTTTGGGGGCGCAACTTAGCATACTTTTTGGATCGTTTTGTTACTTACGATTTTATGATGCAGGGCTGAGAGCTCCCGTTCGGTGACCCTTCGACTGGCCGCCTCGCGTCGTCTCTGTCGGAACTGGCTGTACTTGTAGGCCAGCATAACGCCGGGCAGGGCGAGCGCCTCCAGTGGGGATTTACGTCCAAAGGGCATTCTTGTCGGAGAGGGAGTAATCCTCGTCTGCTCGGTGTTGAATTATTGCTTGCTGGTTATTGACAATTGCTTTCTGTCTGTCTCTCTCTCTCTCTCTCTCTCTCTCTCTCTTTCTCGCTCTCTCTCTCCTCTGTCTATCTCACGCGCTCACTCTCTTTCTTTCTTTTTGCTCCGGTTAGTGTCTCATTATAAAGATTATGTAAGCAGAACAGAAGCTAGCGCATTATGTTCCTTTGTTGTCTGGCAGCACTCAGTCCATTTGCCTATCGACTCGCACAATTTTTCAATTCAATTTGTTTTTCCGTTTCCTTCGCATGCTGCAATTCACTTTGCATTCGATTCTGCAAATCGCCTGTGAAAACAATTTATCATGTGGGGCTCAACACGTTGATTGCATCCACACTTGAATTTGAGTGCGTTGTAAGTGCTTTCTGATATTCCCTCAAGGCGCGGTCGGGGAGGGGCGAGTGGAAGAGGTCGGAAGGCTGCCACAACTACAAAATGTCATGTTTTGAGTATTTACAGATGCTCGAGACATAAAATGTGTTTCACAAATGCATTTCGCCTCGAAATCGTCATGGATTTCTTTCCCTATTGCAATTTATATTTTTATGGAGGGCACACGAAGGGACAGAAAAGGATCTTGAAGGAGGGCTATTAAAAGAACCCAATGTTAACAAAGACGAAATTTTCAATTTAGAGGTCCTATGTAAAACCCACACACATAAAAATATATAATATTTTATAGAGTTATTTCCGGTAAGGAGAAAAATAATGAATCAAAGCATAGGAATGGAGTCGGCTGAATTTAAATTCAAAGAAATTTTAATGAGATTTTTATAAGATTTTCTTAATTGGAAAATTTCTATGATAGATATCAATTTAAGTAGCAGCTGAGAGAGGGATGATTTGCCAAAAGCAAAGGCGTAATTAAGGTTACCGAAAAATGAAGAGACTCTAATGAAAGTATCAAATTATTTGCCTAATTAATGTGTTTAATTAGAGCGAATCGAGCCAAAAGAAATTCGATTCAAGGCAATGTATACTATGTATATAACAAATATATTTGAGATATTTCAATGTAAATAATATCATCAATCGATAATATTTTACAAATATTTGATATACATCCAAATACAATTCATATCTGTTAATATACATTTTAAATATATTCAATATATTTGAAGTTTGGCAGGCAGCAATTTAAGATAGACTACAAGATATACATTTTAATTTCCATAATTCAGCAAATGATTTCTATTAAATATTTACTGAAAAAGAAATTCACATTCCAATTAACATTCATATGACATTCTCTTATGGCTAGCAATTTAGATGCGAACAATTGGAGCAATTTGAAAAGGTCCATTCCAAATGGTCATTTGTATGGCTTAGTGTGCTCTAGGAGTGTGGCGAAGGGTGTTACTAGCGCTAGGGGCGCTTGTCATTATTTGCCAGAGTCCTGGCATTAGAAAGTCTAATAAATTTATGCTTTGGCTTAGACAGTATCAAATTACAAGGCGAAGATGAACATTAATTTCAATTAGAAATCGCACGCGAGCGAGACACATGCACGCACACTCTCTATCTCCCTCACACACACACACACACGCACACACACACATATGTATACGCTGTAAATCACAGCAAAGGCTGCGCAGCGGGCGGGCTGTGCGGGGGCGTGGCAAAAGAAACTGTCACTGATTACACGCTGCGTTTAGTTAGACTTTTATTTTATTTTAGTTAAGCTACTCAAACACACGCACACACACACACTCGGCTAAAGGCGCGCGCGAGATATGGCGCGTGCGAGCGAGACAGCGTTACTTTTTGCGCACTTTTTGCTTTTCACTTCGCTTTCTCGTGCCACGTGCGTCGGCGACGAACGCAGAGCGTTGAATGTCGCACAGAAGCTTCGCCGTTTCCCACGCAACCAGCGCTGGAAGCTGCGTAACTGTCACTCTTTACGTGTGTGTGTGTGTACGTGTATGCGTGTGTATGTGTGCCTGTGTGTGAGGGACGCAGTTCCAGCGCTGCTGTAGCTAAAGTCGCTAGCCGTCGCTTCCAGGGCGGATTGTTTATGCTAGCAGCACGCGGCTCGCTGCTTTGCATTGCTTTTACAGTGACTTGCTTTGCGTTTCTCGCTTTTATTTGGTTATTGCATTTTCATGCAATTTATTGCATTTTAACTGCAAGCTTAGTTTACTTCTGCCTGCGGAACTCACGAATTCGGTGCTAGCTGCTGGCTTTTCGCACGTTACGTATACGACGCGAGCGCCGCGGTCGTGCAACATGCAGCGTGGCGCCTTCGCAGACGACTGCGGGCAACGTTCACGCTTCCAGCGGGCCAGAGCAAAAGCAAAGCAGCGCAAAGCAAATGCGCAGAAGCTACTCACATACCGTTAGCCGGCAAAAGTTTCCTTTTCTGCGTATAACAGTTTGGCAATTTTGTTGTAAACAAAACGTCATCAAATTATGTATGTGTGAGTGTGTGTGTGTGTGTGTGGGTAAACAAATCACAGACTGGGGGCACATTTACAGTTGTCGCAGTTCTCAACATTTGCGACACTTTACAACTGTTTTTCCATTCTTTTTTGTTTTTGTTTGTTTCTGCGGTCACTTTCAATTCAACAATTCAATTTTATGAGCCCTTGTTAATTATCGCATGGGCCTTGTTCTGCTAATTGCTGTGGCTCTTTATTGGCCCTTCTGCGGAATGCCACCCTAAATTTGTGGGACTCATAAGAGTTCTAAATAAACGGCCAAGAAGCAAAGGGTGAATTAAGCTCACATTTGTCGTTAAATAAATTTTTTAAATATTAAACTATTCATATGAAAATTAAAAACAAGATTACATTACTCACGTTGAAGCCAAGCTAAGCTAAGCCACATGTTGCTAGAATAGTTTTAGCATTTCATGTTTCTTAAACATTTGAAGTTAAAGTAGCCTTAAAAGTGTATATACAATGTTGCCGCAACATATTATCATTTATGTTTAACGAACTACTATTGCAGTCTTAAGGAACTTTCTCAAATTTTTGTTCCGATATAAGCTAGCAATTCAACCCAACCAGGTCATGTCGTTTAATTCGTCTTGCTTAAAATATTACTGCAGAATAAGCTAGCTTCTTAGCTAGCTGTTGTCCTAAGAACATGTTTATGTTGCCAGTGCAGCATAGCCAAGCAACATATGACATGTGCCTAGCTAAGTAACATGCTGCCAGCATGTGACTATCTCAAAATGAAGCAGCAACATTAGGTAACAACAAAATAACAGAGTCAGCTGTTAAAGAAAACAGTAAAAAAAGCACTAAATAAATTTATGTAACTGTTAATTTAATTAATGCTTTATCCCTTTCATAATTGATCAACAAAATGGCATAGTAACATGTTGCCAGCGAGCTAATACCCTGCAAACATGATCTACTCGCCGCAGAGCATGCTCAAAAAACATATACTTACTTACATATATAGTTCTACTATTTTCATGTTAACTAACAGGCAATGTTAGCTAACAGCAAATACAAGCATTCACGGAAATACACACACACACAGCTACTGCAGATCAATAGCTTTTAAGAGCGCAGGTCAACAAACCAGCAACAACAACAGCGAATTGCCAAATGCCCAAACAGAATGGCAAGGTAAGGAAAAGCCAAACTAACGTTAGCAAAGTCACTGGAAAGCAAAGCCACACTAAACTGTTCTACAATTGTTCAAACTGTCCTATGCCCGCTGAGCGCAATCTCTCTCACTCTCTCTTGAAAGTGAGCACAAACGTGAGCAAGACTCTCGCGTGGCCTGCTTTGCTAAATGCAAAAATAAAAAATAAAATATATAATAACACACACACACACACATATCCAACCAATGCGAAGACAACAACAAGGCGACGCTATGGAAATGATGACGTAAATTGAAAGGCAACTACAACAACAGCAGCAAGAAATTCTATTTGCATTGTTCTTGTGTCTGTCCATTTGTTCGCTTCCAACATTTGTCTGTCTGCCACGCAATGTGCTCAGGTGTTTTAAGGAGGAGGGGTGGGGAGAGGAGGGGAGGGGAGAGGAAGACTTGGGCTGTCGCTTGTTTGTCGAGCATTTGTCGATGCGAGCAAGTGCACTTCACAGATACATAGATAGACACGCACACACATGGACACACATGCACACATATAAACTTTTACGGATAGGCGGGCATTCGACCAGTTGGCAGCCCATTTCTAATGACATTTGCTTCGTTGTTTCGCGGGCGCTTTTAACGACTCACTGACAACGCTTCTATTTCCGCTTAGCTGCGTTAGCAGCGACTCTATTCGAGATGGGCGCGTGTCGTGACACGAGCAATTAGTGTTTGTCTATTAAGTAACATGCAAATCAAGGTCGAAACTAATAAATCGTCATAGCAAATTTCTAAAAATATCTTCAAAGGTTTCATTGCTGACGTTCTGTTATTCCCAACTGAATTTCACGCTAAAAGTATATCAAAATATGCACGAAATTGGCGCGCCCATTGTTAAGCACATATTTAAATTAGATAACAATTTCGTATACAAGTTGCAATAAATAAATAAAGTACATGTTTGATATATTTTTAAGTTTTTAATACATATAATTATTATTATTATTCGCTTTTCATTTTTAATATTTTATTTTTCCTATATTTCAATCCACGCTTAAAAATCTGTAGGTTGATCTTATATAAACTTCTTTTCCATACGGAAATAATATCAAATCATTGTAGACTCCTTCAGTCAGTAACTATTTCAATCACGCTCCCATCTCTAAAGCTTTACGCCGTTTGTTTTGGTCCACATCACAAGTTCTGCTGGTCGCTCAGTTTATTTATTTTTTTCAATCTTCTTTCGGTTCACTATGCAGCAGCCCGCAACCTGCAGTTGGTTTATTTGTTTCGCCTGTTTGTTTGCTGTATGTGTCCTTCGCAGCAAATCCACTCACTCATACAAACACACACACACACACACACATATATATACAGGGGGAGATAGACACACATATGTATACTGTAGCGCGTGTCTCATATTTCGTTGTGTGCGTCCTTAAAAACTTTTGCACTTTGTGCTCAATTTGGCTTTTTTGTTGCGTTTTGCTTTTCTATTTCTATTTTTAGGCCGCACAGCTCGTTGCACACATAAACTTACACACACACAGAAGCATTTACACATGCTAAGGTTAATGGTTTTTCTTGGCCAACACACGTTGGGACTGGAGAAACTGCGACATCAATCATACGCCATGTGTTCGCTGCGTCCTAGTAAACGCATAAATTAATCAAGAATAGCATACAAATAAACGAAAGAGGTGTATCAAGAGAAAGACAGTGCAGAGGAGAGAAAGAGTTTGAGAGAGACAGAGAGAGAGAGAGAGCGGGCAGATAATGAAGCTCTGCTTCGTCTATCATTGGCATTGTCCAAGTTTGTTGACGTCCCCGTTCACAGACAGCCATTGACGTCACAGACTGCACATGCACATCACACATACGCCCACTGTGTCTGTGTGTGTGTGTGCTTGGGTGGGTGTGTGTGGAGGGCAGCAGCTGCTGCAGCTGCATGCCGCCGATTGTCGCATTGCCATGATGCCGCAGCCAAGTAG